TAGATTATACTTGCATACTTTGCCTAGTTGTAATGGACCAATCAGATTCATAATTCAATTACCAACAAGTTCTTCAGGAGGTTCTCCTGTTTAAAATTGCCCATTTGTATCAGGTTTTGCTAAGTATATGCAGATGCTACAGCTTGTAATTATTGTTAATGGTGGAGACCAGATACAATTACAATTGTATCTACAATTTGTATGTAATACACTAAATTAAAGAATTGTTAAGTTTAAGAATTAATTGTGTCAATTCTAAAATTGTTGAATCATCTACAATTTGTATGTGATACAGTCAAGGGTAAATTTACTCTTGATATAGTAAATTCAAAAAGTGTTTATGTTTAATAATTAATTTTTAAATACAATATAAAAAATCACAAAACTGCAAATTTGAAATTTACAAAAAATTAAGACATGGAGTCATATCTATACATACAAGCCAGTTCAACTTGAAATGGTTCAGAAACCAGCTCAATTGTGTCCACACTTAAGGCCTTTCTACACTAGCACTTCTAATGCGCATTGAACTGGTTTGGAACCGGTTCCAGTCATTCCACACCTGATGCGCATTGACTTCAATGCACATTGACTTCAATGCGCATTAAGCCAAACCACCTCCATATGTGGTTTGAATGGCATTCAATAGATAACCAATGGCAGCTGGATCAGAAATGCTATCAAAATATACTTGATCCTGAAGATAGTGTGGAATCAATTGATGGGCATTCAATGTGCATCAATGAGCCGACTTCTGGAACCGGTTCAAGTGTAGAAAGGCCTTTAACTGCATGTGGTTGAATCAGTTTATAAGTACTACAGTGACCTTCACCTTACAAGAGACTGAAGGAGAGAGAAAGGGGAAGAAGGAAGAGAGAGAGAGGGGAAGAAGGAAGAGAGAGATAGGGGAAGGGAGAGAAACAGATGGAGGGAAGTAAAGCCGGAGGGAGAGTGAGAGAGAGAGTGATGAAGGGAGAGAAAGGGACAATAATTATTGATTCCAATACATTAATAAAACAACGTACAATTGATTTTTGTTTCCTGTCACATGATAAAAAATAGGCCACACCCATTCCATAGCAGCTGTAATGACTTACTGGTATAAAAACCAGCATCACCTGGAACAACACACAAACAAACATCATTAATAAAATAATATAATATTATCATTTTACCTATTATACTGTATTAATATACACACATTAACTGACTGACTGTGTTTATTATTTATTATTAGGAGAAGAGACTGGAAAGGTGGAGTGGACCAGTTATAGTGTAACCCTCACTAAACCATCAGCAGGTCAATGTCAGGAAGTGATCAGTCAATTAACAGACAGTCATCAGAACACTTTCCTCCGTCACTCATCACCTGATATTGTATACTTGATGAAGTCTCAAGTACTAGACATAAGAACAATAAAGGAGATTGGTATAATTAACACTAAAATAACGAAAGATGTCATCCTCTCACTGTCTCACACAATAACAAACAATACTTCATTAGAGACACTAGGGTTCAGCTATGACTCCATCAATGATGATGGAGTCAGTGCACTAACACAATCATTAATTAATAATAAAACAATTACTGGCTTATATCTTCATAACAATCCTGACATCACTTCAACCAGTGCTCAGTCACTAGCTGAACTTTTACTCTACAACCACACACTATCTTTCCTTTCTCTCGACGGTACTAACATTGATACTGATGGAGTACTGGTACTGATGGAATCTCTCAGGACCAATAATACACTAAGAGGACTATGGCTAGACAAGAAACATAAACAAACTTGTTCTTCTTTACCTTATTATAAAACTATTGAAAAAAAATTAGTCTTTGAGTAATTATTTCATG